TGAACCTGGGCCTTCTGCAAAAGAAACCAGTACTCTTAACCATCTCTCCATCTCTCCATCTCTTACTCTTACTCTTTTTGAAAATTAACTTTGGGGTTAAGTATAACAAAGTTACAGCCAACATTGTGCTGAATGGGGAGAAACTAAAAGCATTTCCTCTAAAAATCAAGAACAAAACAGGAATGCCCCCTCCCTCAACACTTAGTCATTAGAGCACTTAAATCCTTAACCAGAGCAATAAGACAAGAAAAAGAAATAAAAAGAAAAACAGGGAAGGAAGTCAAATTATTCATATTTTCATATAACATGGTCCTATAATTGAAAGATCCTCAAGACTATCAGAAAACTCTTATCTCTGATAAACACTTTCAGGGTATAAAATTGTTATATAAAAATCAGTAGCTTCTGTAGACATCAATAATAAACATGAAATCCAGAAAACAATCTTATTAATAGTAGTTTCAAAAGTTAACTACCCAGGAATAAACCTAACTAAATGTGTGAAACTATATAAAAACTATAGCACACCGAAAGCAAAAAGACTTCTCATAGAATTACTACTGTGAAAATGGCCACACTACTGAAAGTTTAACACACAATCCCCATGAAAATCTCAATAACATTCACAGAACTAGAAAAATCAACCCTAAAATCCACATGAAAGCACAAAAGATACAGAATATAAAGCAATCTTGAATAAAAAGAGCAATGTTGAAGGTATCGTATACCCGTTCTCAAATTATACCACAGAGCTATAGTGACAAAAACAGCATGGTGCTGGCACAAAATCAACACAGAGACGAATGAAATCGATTAGACAACCCAGAAATAAATCTATGAAAGTCACTAGAGCCTGCTAATCCCACTCCTGGGCACACACCTGAACAAATCCAAATTATCACAGAGTTACCTGCACAGCTTTGTTTATTGGCTCTGTTCACAGTAGCCAAGCATGGAGTCAGTTTAGATGACCATCAGTGTATGGATCAATGGAGAACCTGTGGTATATCTATCTACACAGTGGCAAACTACTCACCCACAAAGAAGAAAGTCCCATTGTGTGTGGGAAAATGGATGGAACTGGAGAGAGTCATGTTCAGCACAATAAGCCAGACTCAGAAAGCATCTGTGTATTTTCCCTCACATGCACAATCCAGTTGTTTTTCAACATGTGAAAGAATAAAAGGAACTATTTGGAGAGTTCAGAAGGGACAAAGTGGGCAATTAGGGTAAGCAAGATCAACATGACTGATATGCATTATGAAAATGCCACAGTAAAACCATCATTTTGTACAACGAATGTAAGCCAGTAAATTCTTGAGAACTTGTGGCTTTGATGTTTTCCATTTCATTGACTTCCATCCTCATCTCTGTTGCTCCCTTGCTCTGACTTACTGGAATTTTGTTTCTTCTTGTTTCTCTAGTTTTGTGAGTGGAAGCTTTGAACCTGGGTTTTGGTTTTTGTGTTTTACTTTTTTCCTTAATCTGAGCGTTTAAGCTATAAATTTCCTTCAAAATACTGCTTTAACTGCATCCCACAATTTTTGGCATGTTGGGCCATTTTGTCTGGGATGCTTTCTAACTTCTCTTGCATTTTCTTCTATGGTTTGTGGTATATTAAGACGAGTGGTTTAATTTCCAGTTATTCAGGGATTTTCTGGATACACTGTTCTGGGTATCTAATTCTGTTAGTTTCTTTCTTTCAGGGCTGGGGTTGACTCTAGGATCTCCTACATACTAGACAAGCATTCTACCACAAGCTGTATTCCTCATCCCTTCCCCCCAACACACACCCTTTATTTGGAGACAAGGTCTCACTAAATTGTGCAGTTGACTTTGAACTCACTCTGTTGCCCAGGCTGACCTTGAAACTTTGAACCTTATGCATCAGCCTCCTGAATAGCTGAGATTAGTTACAGGTGTGAGCCCTCAGGCCCAGTTCTAATTCATTTTCACACACACACACAACATATAGTGCATGATTTCAATCTTTTTTAATATTTTATTTATTTTTATTTTATGCATATAAATGTATTGCCTGCAAATATGTAAGTGCACCCATGTCATGCAAAGCCTGTGGAGATCAGAAGAGGGTTTTAGATACCCTGGAACTGGAGTTATGGACGATTGTTAGCAGCCATGTGACTTCTAGATTCAAACCCAGGTCCTCTGCAGGAGCAATCAGTACTCTTAACCACTAAGCCATCTCTCCAGCCCCAGTTTTAGTCTCTGAAGTTTATTGAGATTTGTTTTGCCTGGCCTGGGGACCTCTGGGTCCTGCGCAGGCAAAACATTACTGTGAGCTGTCTGGTGACAAGCAGGTCCCTGCTGCTTGATCAAGAGATGTGAGCGACCCTCTGCACAGAGCACTGTTGAGTCCTGTGCCTCCATCTCCCTTCATATCCAGTGATCTTGGAGGCCAGAAAAGGAGTGGAGGCTGATTTCAGGAGAGGGGCCAATCATCTAGCCATCCTGGTATTAAAGAACCTGTGCAGTTCCCTAGCAGGGTCTGCAGATGACCTACAGAACCAGCAAGAGGTCCGGACTGAAGCTAGATGTGGCGTACTACCGTCACATCTAAATGGGTTTGCTGTTAAAACAGCAAACTGAGGGAGCCCAGCCTGGTACTCAGTTGGTGGCTTTTGTTGCCCTCCCTCAAGCAGAGTCAGACTGACCCCCTCCCAAGGCATCAGCGTTTATCATGGGCTGCTTCCTGGCATCGTCAAGTGGACAGGTCAGCAGCTAGGTCAACAAAGCCTGGCAGAGTCAGGCTTGATGGCCCAGTCTACACTCCCAGCACTTGGAAGGCTGAGGCAGGAGGGTCGCCAAGAGTTCGAGGCCAACCTGGGATGCAGAGTGAGACTGTCTCAAAACACACACACACACACACACACACACACACACACACGAACCTTGACAATGTACTAAGCCCTGGGTCACAGGCTGTGGACACCAAGTCCTGAAGGAATTACAGAGGCCAAACATAGCTTGAGAAAACAGCTTTATGAGCCAAAGTAGACCCAGCAACTTGGGGAGGCTTCCTGAGTCAGAGTGGGCTGGCATGGGTGTGGTCAGGGATAGTTTACAGTGAGGGAGTTTCAGGCACACCAAGGCCATTTGGGGTCCTAGATGTGCTTCCCAGTTATCAGTCCTAATAGGCACCCAGAGTCACAGGCCCTTAGAACCTACCTCATAGGGACAGACGCTGTCACCTGAGTTCCTTCTGCCTCACAGTGAGCACAGGCTTAGCACAGGGTCCCCACCAGATGGGGAGTAGGGCCAAGGGTGGTTTGGGGGTCCTCCACCAGTCCTGAGGGAGCATCTGCTCCCTCCCTCCTAGGCCAGGACCCTCAGAGAGGAGCCTGATCCCCACAGACCCAGACTCATAGTTTATGTAGAAGGCAGCACAGAGAATCTTGAGTATCCCCTAGACAGGGCAAGCTGAGCCCCCTACACTAAAAAGAGAAACTGAGGGGCCTTCCCACCTCTACCCCCTGTCTCCATGGAGGCTGCCAAGGATCCGACAGGCAAGTGAGTCCACTCTGTACTCAAAATATTTGGAGGGAGGGAGGCAAAGCAGAGAGGAACGGGAGCACTTTAAAAGGCACATGGCACAGTGGTGTGAGGAATGAAGTCCCTGAGCCAAAATGGGAAGGGTTCATTTCCAGCTCTGCTTTACTAGTCCCGGGCTTGTGTAAAGCCAGGGCCAGGAGGGCCAGTCTGATTGTTAAGGTCCTGGATCAGCTGTGAAATGGTGACTGACATCGGCAGCAGCATAGGGCTGGTCCAAGGAATAAAGGAGCCAATAATCCAAGATGCTTGGAACGACACCCAGCACGTAATCAGCATTTCACAACTGAAAACTGCTGACCGCTCTTATTAAAATCCTCCCGGCAGAGACCTTGCAATTTGGATGGAAGCAGAGCTTCCCGAACCATCTCATTGCCAGGGATGCAAGAGTTCGTCTGAAAACGCATCTGCAAAGCCAGCGAGCATTCGCTCCTTTTCTGGCGTTTTCCTCCCTTTGTACATTGATAGCGGAAAGCTTTTCCTCACAGGGTCTCACTAGAATCAAGTCAAACGATACCAGTGACATGCTTTGAACTGTGCGCAGCGCTTAGCAAACATACCACCAATGTTACCTGCTTTGAAGTCAGCATGGGAGAGGGCTGGGGATTACAATGAGGTGTGTCATGGAGTTCAGTTCTGCCCTCCACAGTGGCCATGAGGTTTGTTTCTGTCCTGGCTGATGTCTAACTTCCCTACTGGGAGGAGGACTGGGTGTCCAGACCTAGGAACTTGCAGAACTGGAATCAGAAAGTCAGAGCTGGGCCTAAATACAAGACCATTCCCTCCTCGGCTCTGCCCCTGCAGATGCCCACTGACCTAAAGAAGGAGCATCACAGTCCCTGAGGAGACCAGACCAGCCTGGGGACACTGGCTGTGAGCATATCAGCACCTAGCCAGCATCAGAAACATCCAGACCACATGGGGTGTCCAGGGCTGATGGGTGAGGGCAGAGACAGGGCAGGAAGGTAAAACAAGTTCAAAGCATCCCTTGGTCTTTCTTTTCCCCTTCTTTTTCCTTCTCCTCCTCCTCCTCCTCCTCCTCCTCCTCCTCCTTCTAATTTTGTTGTTGTTTATATACTTTGAGCAGGGTTTTACTATGTAGCCCAGGCTGACCTGGAACTCACTATGTAGCCCAGGCTAACCTCCAACTCAGCAATCCTCCTCCCTCACCTCAGGCTCCTGAGTGCTGGGATTCTAGGCAGAGTGCACACACACGTACACACCTGTTCACCTCGTCCAGGTTCATTCTTGACCATGACCTTCCCAGAGGGGCACATAGGACAGAGAGAGGGTTGGGGCTCTGGGGAAATGGAGAGTTTACTTTGGTCTGGTTCAACGTTGAATACACTAAACTCCTTCAGAACGCAACAAGGAAATGGCAGGGCCGTGCCTGTCCCATTTGGTCCCCCACCCCCACCCAGGTGTGTTACCTCATGGATCCCAAAGTGGGCATACGAGTCAAAGTAGTAATCTCTTGAAGTCATCTCCTCAGGGTTCAGTAGTTTGGACAGCTTGCCCCGTCCTGGACAGCTGGGCTGTGTGGACACATGGTGGATGCACTGTACAGGCTTGGCTGGGACAACAGGCTGAGGGGGCTGAGGGGGGGCACTGCTCACCTAAGGAGAGAGAAGGAGCCAGAGTTAGTCCTGCCTCCATGAGCAATTTCACTCCTCTCCCTCCCTCCTCCATCCCAGCACCAATTTGCATCAGCTTCCTGGCCATCAGTTTGACAGCAGTGATTTGTAGACAGGCCTCTGACGCACCAAACAGACCCAGACTGACCCCAGTTACAAGGGGGATGGCCTAAGTTGATCTGGCCTCAGTTTCCATATCCATCAAATGGGGAAACAACATCTTCCTTTAGAGGGACCAGGGAAAACTCAACAAAGGGAAGGATGTATAGCATAGGATAGGAGCGAAGAGCAGGATTCCAGAGACAGGTGTCTTGAAGCCCAGCTCCCTGCCCCATCCCACCCCCAGTTGCCATAGCTTCTGTGTGGCTTATCCATCCAGGGTTCACACATTAAAGGCTTGGTCCCACTGTGGTGAGGTGGGAGGCAGGGGATAGGAGGTGGAGCTGGCCAGGCATAGTGGTGCATACCATTAATCCCAGTACTCCACTCAAGAGGCAGAGGCAGAGGGATCTTTGTGAGCTTGAGGTCAGCCTGGTCTACATAGTGAGCTCTAGGCCAGTCAGAGCTACACAGTGAGAACTTGTCCCTCCAGGGACCCTGATTAGTTCTCAAGAGAAGGTCCTTATAAAGCACAAGGCTTCAGCCTCCTACCTCACCCTAAGATTGCTCCCTCTTACACATGCTCCTGATATAATAATAGGATCCAGCACAAGACACATGCTCCTGCAATTATAAGATGATCTCTCATGAGGCTTTTATCAGAACTCTTAAACCTCCAGAACTATGAGCTAAAGAAACCTCTTTTCTTTACAAATTACCCTGCCTTGGGCATTTTATTATAGTAGTGGAAAACTGACTACCACATTAGCTATAGAGTGTTGAGCAAATTTATTATCCTCTCTATGCCTCATTTCTCCATCTCTAAAATGAGAATAAAAGAGCTATACCTTCTAAAGTTGTCCTAGAATTATACAAACTGTTTTTTTTTTTTTTTAAGTTCCTAGGAAAGGGCCGAACAAGTGTTCATTAAACCAAACCCAAACCCCAGCCTTAGAAATGAAGCCCATGAGCTTCTCTCTTCACATCAAGTCGCAGCGAGCTGAAGTTGGACTTGCCGCCCCTGAATACAGCTGTCCCTGTTCTGCTGCCAGAGCCATTGTCTTGCCTCCCTAGTCTCAGACTCATAGCTTGCCTTGAATTTCAGCACTGAGGATCCCCATGCTGGCTGACCTTTCTCCTGAACACTACCAACTACTGTTCTAAGTCTGAATGCTGAAGTCCAGTCTGGCTCTACTGCCCCCACTCCCACCTCCTGGCCTCACACACCCCCCTGCCCGCCCCGCAACCCAGGCTAAGGGGAGGAGGGAGGGTCAGAAGTCATCCAGTCTGGCAATTCCAAAGGGCCACTTGTCCCGGAAATAGGAATGGCAGGGCCAGGTGTATGAGAAACAAAGGAATCACAAGGCAGGACAGAAATGTTTAAAAACAATAAACAGCACACCAGGGCTGTGGCAGTGCTTAATCACAGCCCTTGGGAGGCAGAGGCAGGCGAATCTCTGTGAGATCAAGGCCAGCCTGGTCTACATAGTGACTTCAGGCAGGCTGGGACTAGGGAGACCTTGTCAAAAAAAATAAAATAATAAAATAAAATAAAACAGCCAAGTGGGCTCGAGGAATCTCTCCTGGCTCTGATAAAACTGAAAACAGACACTGAGCCAGAGGCACAGTGGGGAAGCATTCTCGGAACCCCACTACCTGGCTCTGAGGCCCAGCCCTGCTGCCTCTGTGTGACCCTGGGGAATCATTTGTCACCACTATGTCTCTGTTTCCTCCTCTTTAAATACAGAACCTAATAAAGACTCCCTGAGGAGCTGGGGGACAGCTTACTCAGTAAAGTACTTGCCACTTCTGCATAAGCATGAATTTGATCCCCAGCACCCATGGAAAAAGCCAGACATGGTGATGTATACCTGTAATCCTAGCACCTCGCACTGGGGAGTCAGAGATCAAGAGGATACCCAGACTTATGAACCACACAGTGGAGCCCAATAGGTGAGCCCCAGCACCCAGTGAGAGGCAAGGTAAGAGGTAAGGCATAGTGGCACACACCTTTAATCCTAGCATTCAGGAAGCAGAGACAGAGGCAGGAAGATCTAAGTGAGATGGAGGCCAGCGTGGCCTACGTGGTGAGATCCAGGCCAGCTGGGGCAACAGGGAGACCCTGTCTCAAATAAAGGTGGGTGTCTAGCTCCTGAGGAATGACACACTTGAGGTTTACCCCTGGCATCCACACATATGTGCCTACACATATTTGTGTGTGTACACACATATGGGGACACACACACACACACACACACACACACACACTGAAAGAGAAATAGAGAAAGAAAACCCCCTTGTAAGAACTGTCAATGCATTTGGATCAGTTTCTCAGTGGAGGCATGATGGCAGTTTGGTAAGGGCTTGGTTATTGTTCCCAATATGAATATTACCATTCAGGTCACTCATCACATTCCTGTCCTGTCTCAATTTGCTCCTCATGAGCTGGGTCAGTTCAGACTTCCAAACAAGAGAAATGGTGGCTCCTGGGACAAGGCAGATAGAGAAATGCAAGTGACTGCTCCCCCCCCCGCAACTGCAGGCACAGTACCCTCTCCATCAGGGACTTCAGGGGAGCCAGCTGTGGGACAGTGATGTCCCAATCTCCTGGTGTGTCTAGGCTGCCACCTCTGGGAAACAGCAGACTTCCAAGTTTAGCTATACAGGCTTTCAGTGGGTCAAAGAGAGGCTGGGCTGGCTCATCAGGATGCAGCAGGTGTGCTCACCCTCTGCTTGGGATGTTGGTCACGGTCTCTGGAAGGCTAAAAATAGACTGTGTCAATTGCAGACTCCCGTGCAGGCTGCAGAGTCACCTCCACAGCTGAAGAAGGCTCTGCACACAGCTGACCCCAATATTGACTCCATTTAAATACATTAAGGAGAGAAAAACTCCTAGCTGGTTCAGGCATGTGCTCAGTTAAAGTCATGGGGCCTCCAGCACCTTTTAGCTGTCATTCAACTCTGATTCCAAGGTCTCCTTTTCCATGGGGCTCCCCGAGGCTCTGTCCCCAAGTCAGCTTATGAAGTGGCTTCCACGGAAGGAGGCAAATGGATGGATGCATTGGCCAGGGTCAAGGGGAAGATATTGAATTCACTAGCCACGGGAATTAGGATGCTGGGGTGGGGGTGACCATGACTGGTGCTTGGTCCCAAAGGCCATCATATCATCCCAGCTCAACCTCCTGCAAAGCAGACTTATACCGTGTCCATGGACTGATAGGTATGCCAACTCCCAGGAAGCTGGGAGCCTATGGGAAATAGCAGTGGCTTCGAAAGCCCTGCATTCCACTACATGAGAGTTGCTTTGAATTCTAGCAACAGTTGTCAAACACTTGCTGTTTTAGGGCACCATGTGGGAAAAACAGTCTGGGGGAGACGGTGGCCTGGGTCCTTCAAAGACTCTGCTTTCAAGATCCTAAGACCCTTAGACACTCCACAAGAAGCTGGAATAAAGTACATTCTACAAAAGAGCTGAATTCCTTTAACTTGGAGTTAAGAAATCCTAGCACAGCAATCCACGGGTAACTGGGGAGCCTTGTCAATGGGCTTTGGTTGGTGCAGGTGGTAGGAGGAAATCCTAGAAGGAAGGAAGTGGTGGGTTGAGCAGAAAGGACGAGGGGGAGAAGGCAGCGAACTTGATGGAGAGCTGCATGATGGGATAGCAGAGGATGTGGTGGGAAGGTTATAGTCAGGCTAAAAGGGTGGAATTAATAGATGACAGGGATCTGGGCCCTGTGTACACAGGGCCCAGTGTTTGAATACCATGTTAGGAAATGGGATGCGAGAAGAGAGTAAGAAGAGAGTAAGGAAGAAAAAGGAATGCGTGGATGAATTTAGGAGGCTGTTTTCAAAGTCCAGGCAAAAAATAATGAGACTTTGAACTCCTGGGGCATTGGACGGGCAGCCTGCCCAGGAAGTGCAGAAATAGAACATACATAGAAGTTGGCAAGTAGCAGAACATGGGGAAGAGAAGGAAGCTAGAATCAAAGATGACATCCACATCTTAAGGTTGGGTGAGTAGGGAAAGAGTGGTAACGTTCACAGAAAGAAGCGAGTCAGGGGGAAGAGCAGGCTGGGGTGGAAGAAAAGAATGAATCTCAGCGTGGATGTGTGGAGTTTGAAATGTCATTAAGCCATGAAGAAAGGATGTCTAGCAAGCGGGTATGAAGGCAGCTCCAGTCAATACATAGCTTCAAAAAAGCTGAAAGGTATACCCTAAAAAATATGGCAAGTGGCAGTTAAAGCCTGGCTTATGGAGAGAGCGCTTATAAACCAGTAAGAAAGAGATGGGCAGCCCTGCCCTGAGTTAATGGGGACAAAGAATCCTGTGGTCTATTCACGTGAAAATAAACATAAATGGTAAAAATTGACAGGTACGTTTAACTCCTCAAGATCAGATAAATTCAAAAGAGAACAAAACCTTATCTCATTTCCCCCTCCAGAAAACTATCAATTGCTGCTTTTGCAAGGTTTGCAGGGTCAGGGAATAGGCATATATTGGTACATATCTTGGGGAATGAAATTAAGATGTTTTTGTAAGGCAGTTGAGTAAAAATTCATTGAATGTTAAAAAGCACAAATCCTGTAACCCACAAATGCTTTAATTTTTTATTTGTTATTTATTTTTATTTTATGTGTATGTGTGTTTTGTCTCTGTGTGTGTAAGTGCACCACCTGCATACAGTGCCTTCAGAGGCCAGAAGAGGGCATTGGATCCCCTGGAACTGGAGTTGCAGACAGTTATTAGAGGCCATATGGGTACTGGGAACTGATCCCAGGTCCTCTGCAAGAGCAGCCAGTGTTCTTAACCACTGAGTCATCTCTCCAGCCCTACAATTGCATTTTTTAGCTTTAACATCAGGAGAGAGCTGTAGTCTATCCTA